ATGCCTAGACACCTAATCGTATCAAGAGATGCCTAGATACCTAATCTTATCAAAATATATATAGCCATACAAATACATATCCATAAGTATATCAATACTAACACGATAGATATCCATACCAATATGCTAACAGGTTGGGGCATCAATGTTTGGGTCGATTAACATGTTCCCAAAAAAACAAAAAAAGCCAATCAACTAGCACTTAAGGAGCTGAAACTTATCTTAGCTTTATTCGAATTAGTTTCAACTATGGTTCATGCATTTTCTGCATTTATGTTTTCATTAGTAGCTTATATGACCGTTTGACGTTAATATTATGGCTATTGTTAAGTCAATACTACGAAAGGAAACAAAAATTGATTTAATTTCTATAAAATGGCTATTAAACATGAAATGAGGTAATATCATGGGGTATTCAAACTTACGCACTGAAGACTAGTGTGGTTCATGAAGGTTTTTGTATATTGTGAAACCAACGGGCATTGAAATTACTTAGTGCATAAGACTTGCTATACTACCTCATGATATAAGCGTGAGAATGCTAAGTATGTATATGTATATATGTTATATGTGCAATAACTCAGTGGGAGCTGCTACAGTCCCATGATTCTTTTTAATTGCTTAGATATTCAGATATATAGGTACTCTATCATGAAAGATCCAGATAAACTAAATATTCCAGTGGGAGCACCAGCTAGTGTTTGACAGGTCAGTTGGAACAGTAAACTATAATGTGGTTCACCCATGGAACCCGTATGTGTGGTGTTGGTTTTGTGGCTACATAAGGGAGCAGCTTGATTGAAGAACTCCTTTGAGCCCATGGAGATACGATGACATACGATGAGGATACGTGATGATCTTCTACATAACGTGTCCATGATTCGCGATGCGATATGAAAGATGGACTACGACCATGTTCGGGATGAGATCCGAGCAACAAAAGAAACAGAGGTGTTAACTCCATAAATCCTTTTGTGAAATGATTGCTGACGAAAGCCATGATTAATATATTAAGAGAGAATATAAATCAAAAATTCTTGAGAGAGAGATTGTAATTAGAAGAGATAGAGATTTGCTATATACCTATAGAGGTAATGATAGCGGACCCTCTTGCAAAGGGGATTGCACCTAATATGTTTGTGAGACATATAAGAGAGATGGGGATGAGAGAAAGTGAGGAGGAGAGAATGTAAAGCCTTCAAAGGCCCACTGGGAGTATCCAATTTATGCGGATTATTTTGCATAGTGTGCTACTAAAATACCTTTTTCCATCAAAGGCCAAGTGGGACTATCTTGCATAGTGTGCTACTGAAAGACCTTTTTACATTCTTTCTCTTTTATTATTACATGATTTGGTGCAGCTGCCCTATTATAGGGTCGTAAAATAATGTGTTCTTCTTTTTTCTATTAATAAAAATTCAGGCAGGGGGCCTTCTCTCCCACTAACTTACCCAAAAAAAATAAAAATACCTTTTTACATCAAATTACTCAAATATGGGAGGGGGGGAGTATCCATTTATGCAAATTTTGTACATCTGCTATTTGCATAGTGTGCTACTGAAAGACCTTTTTACATCAAATTACTCAAATATTAAAGGTGTCTATGTAGTATTGCCTAGCGTATAAATTCAAAGTTTTTTCCCGTTTTCTCAGGTGACAATTATAATGCAAAAGCAGCTACTACAATCTAGAATCTAACTCTTAGTGCCCTAAAATAGAAACTTCATTCATGAATAAAGAACGCACTGATCTTTATTAATTAAGAACAAAATAAATAAATATGGGAAGTAACTCATAGAATTGTATGTAGGATCACTTCTATAGGATTTAGTGCCCCCCACATTCAATTACCAAACCGATAGCACACTGGTCCTCAGGTCCAGGTGAATCCTTTGATATGGGAAGCCATTTAGCAATACCTTAATTGAAATCTAGGGCTCCAAGGATACAGCAGAAATCAAGAGTTTCTTTTCAACCCTCTAAAAATTAGGGTTTTCATTTTAAACCCTTTAAACCTTTGAGCATGCCAAAACTCACACCACCCATTAACTCAACTGTGCTCGGTGTGCCCCTTTGGATGGGCTTCCTAGAGGGTGTAGCCCCTTAGGATGAGAGAGAGAGAATAGGCATGGAGGAGAGAGAAAGAGAGAGAGGTCTTGAAAACTGATGCTGGAATGAAGGGGTATGGATGGCAACGGGTTGGGTTTGGGTGGGCTGCCCCTTACCCTAGCCCGGCCCTAGTCCTCATGCCCATGCCCAGGCCAGCCCCTAACCAGGCCAAAAGGGCCCTAGCCCTAGCCCTATTAGGGCAGGGTTTGCCAAAATAAAATTGGGAAAGAATAAAAGAAGAAAATAACAAAAAAAAGAAAAAAGAGGGTTAGGCTAAAACATGCCTGCTTTGGCCCAAGCCCAGCCCGGCCCTATCCCTCCGGCTATGGTTGCCCAGAGTTTGGCCACATTCATGGCCCAAGCCCTAGTCCTTTGGGGCCAGGCTAACTGGAGCCGGGCCACCCGACCCATTGCCACTGCTAGAGGGGGTGACACCCTATACATAGGGCCTCAGGAGCCTAGTATGTGCTAACTTCTAATAAGATTTAGCTTTGAGCTTTGAAGTCCCAGGCAAACTGTGAGGTGAGGAGAGAATTAATCTAAACCATCTATTCCCTAAATCAGTCATTATGATGGAGGGAGGAATGCTAAAACTATTATCCCTTAGATCTCTTTCGCATATCCTCTTCTAATTCCACAAGGATTAGGTTTCCAAATTTCCATTGGATTAGGACTCTTAAATCTACTCGAAACAATTTCCATTAGAAGTCCGACATCCATTGGAAACCAAAAGCCTTTACAAATCCAAATCTAGAAAAACTTTATCCGCTTAAAAAAATTTCTATTATATTTTCATCAATAATTTAAAAAACACCAGGTCAATCAGAGTCACTCAATCCAAACTGAGAATTGTTAGGAACGGTTTGGTTCCCTCAATATATCAAGAAAAGGGCAATTTCAGAGAGAATCAACCGATTATGTTAGAATCGAGTGACTCAGCACGGCCAGACCACACGGTTCTGATATTTTTTTATTCTTATTATTTTTATTTCTTTTTATTTTTTAATTTGAACTTTTTATTGAAAGAAGGATAGTAGAGTGGCCAACCCCTCTCCATGCAATTAGACAGTCACAAACCCATGTATGCTTGGGTGCCTACCCACCTGTGACCCTCTTTTATATGGGTGTAGTTGGCATATGGACGCCTCCGTAGGTGTAGAGGTACGGTGCCCTTCAAATTTTATCATGGTATATAATTTTGATATAAAATGTTATTAGAATTATCTCAAAATCTATTTATATATCTAATTATAAAAATTTAAATTTAAAAAATGATTAAAATCAAGTAGATCTATAAACATATGAAAATCTTGAAAATGGACGGTGTAGATAATATATTGTAAAATGCAATATTTCTGAGACTTAAAATCTTTTATTTTTAATAGTCATGCATCTCGATGAGATGATCATTCAAATTTTCAACATTAAAACTACCTTTTCCGATGGATTTTTAAGGGGTTCTACTAGCATCCTTATATAAACTTTTTCCCTTTTATATTGCCTTCTCCCCACTATAAACCTTTAAATGTGCCCCGATGTGGGATTAATAAAAGGAGGTTTTTCCACATCGAGGATGTTTGAAGCTTAAAAACACGCGCTTTGATTAAGTTAAAAATTAAGTTACACAAAGTAGAAGAAAAAATGGAGTTACGAGGGAGGTGTTTATTAGTTGGTTAAAAAGTAAGAAAAGCTTCAAGTCAACTTGCTACTCCATGAAAAAAAAAATATCAAGTTAAAATGGAGCAAAATAAAAATTAGAAAAAGTAGCATGGCAATGAAGTGAATGAGAGAGTTTCGCAAAAACAAATATGGAAAAAAATCAGAAAGAAAGATGCTTTGACCCTTAGACCTAGGCAGCTTCATTACAAATTAAAAGACACTATCAAGTAATAATCCAACTCAAATAAAAAGCCCAGAAGAAAAGAAATCGTCTTCCATAAATGGCATAAAATTCATAACAGCAGATTGAGGAGAATAAACATCGAAGACCGTCTCGAAGCCATGAGTTTCTTTCTCATTATATTAAGACCACCAATTTCATAAAAACACAAACGTAAAGAGCAAATGGCATATGCCCATCTCAAAATTGAAATGAATGTAAATGTCAACAAAACACTGACTTGCAATACGTTCTTAATAATAATGCATTTTTTATTAAAATATAGAAACCCATAATGTAATATCCTGTCTTTTTCTCTCTTTTTTTTAAAAACCTAAAGACTAAATTTTTAGAAAATTTTGAAATATTTTTAAGTCGTGGATTAGGGCCAATTTCTTGAAAAACTGATTCACCAGCCCGATCCAGGTTTTCAAACTTTTAATTTAATAAAACAATTTTAATTAGTAAGAAGAGGAGTGAATGGGAACGTGTGAGGGTGAATATATGACTTACTAGAGCATTCCATCTATGCTAAAACTCTCAAACCTGCAAGCTATATTTTCAAACCAACTCAATGGGACCCACGACCTACAATCAATCATTGAAGCTCATGCTTGGCCCATAAGAGCTACCCCATAAATTGCAGAATCACAAGTCTAATATGTGGATTACAAGTCCCCCAAGAACAAGTCATATCTATTAGGATGAATGCATGTACTGTAAAAGTACAATGAACTCTCGTCATTACATGTACATGGCTCATCCTTGGTTGCTTCTTATAATACGGCTGTCATGCATTCATACCACTGTTGACAATGATTTTTTCGCCACAACTCCTTATGGATCACATAACAAAAAAATATTTCCCAAAATGCCCAACGGAAATATAGGGTGAGTGATGCTTCCAGACGTAGATACATGGGACCATCAACTCTGACAGGATTCCGATATCATAAACACCGAAAAATTGCTAAATATACGAAGAACGGTACTCGGGCCCCCCAAACTTAAACATCTTGCCAAAACCTAGGGAAATCTCACAATTAGTGATAGAAGATTCAAGAAGTAAAATCCCATGGGATTTGGAATAAGATGTGGCCCATATCCATTGAGGAGTACATAATAAATGAGCATAGTGAAAACCATCATAATCAACGCAAAATGACCAAGAATTATTCTCAAATTCTAGTCCAAAGAGCCCTAAATATATTCCAAAATTTCAGCTTAAATGATATTAAATGGACGAGATTAGCAAAAATGATTTCTGGACTAAAGTCTATAGGCTATGGACTACATACAAGGGGGCGGTAAAATTATATAAGAGGGAAATTTACTTACGGACCAGAAAAAAAGTCCATCGTAATGTTTTGGCCCAAAAATGGACTAGTGTGCTTATCAAAGAAGGGATTTTTATCCTAAATTTGAAAGATTCTGAGCAATCTCAGGTATTTGCAGCAGTGCTAATCTCCAATCGAACCGACTAATCTCAAAAATCAGGTATGTCTTTGTTTCATTTCCATTTTTCTATTTTTCCATTTTTTTCATTTTTTAGGGTTTTTTAAGTTCCTTAAAGCTATTATTTTTCTGGGTTATATGCGATTTAACAGTTTAGATATTCAAAATTAAGGTGACTTTGTTTGTAGGTATTTATTTTACTGTTATATTTCTTTTTCTAATTAAAAATAATTATGGGTTGTGTTTTGTTTGGGTACGCTCAGTAATGTTACAGTTCATTGCATTTTTTTTCATTGCATTTGGTTTTTTTTCATTGCATTTGGTTTGGGATGTGAGGTTTCTATGAGTTAAGGCCCTTATAAAATTGTTATAGCCAACAATTTTGATGTGTGTTTTGATTAGAGAGTTTTGTATGTTTCATTAAAAGAACAAATATTCTTATTATCTGCTTTAGATCATGGGCTTTTGCTGGTTTTGTGCATTTCTAGTTTGAATTGTACAACATTTTGATTTGTGTACAGGAAATAAGGCAATGCATGTGCTGAGTTATAATTGAGTTCCACTGTCAATTAGGGTATAGATTTGGAGAAAATTTGATGGGGTGTTTAACCTTTTGGAATATTTGAATCTGATGTTGTGACACAATGGTCGGATAATAGTTTAAGAGGGAATTACATTGAAATTTGTCTGTTTGTGGATCTTCATGTTTTGATTGTATTTCATCTTTGAATTTTTTTCTGACAAATTCTAATCCTTTCAGAGATCAATTTTATGGTATATATTCTCATGGAGGCACAGGCATCATATGTACAACTATAAATTGCTCAAGGCTAATAAATGTGCACTGTTGAATTTTTGTTATTTTAGAATTAGACAGTTGTAGTTTTATGAGTTGTAGTTTTTTGTTATTTCTGTACTGGCAGGATTCTATTTGATCTTTACTTGTTTCACTGCTAATTTAATGGAATTCTTGATCTTAAATTATGCTAAACTTTATGTGCTCTTGATCACCCATTATCACCTATACCATTCCCATGTTTACGTTTTTTTGGTGCATATTTAATGTCAGTCACATAACATTTGCACTTCTACTCATAGGTTTATATGGGTTCCAAGCTAAGTTGAATTTTGATATATGCTTATTTATCTAAATTCCCAAAAGACTACTTGAATACTTGTTCAGTTGTTCAATTTATGTTCCTTCACGAATATGCTTACTAAAAAGAAAGTTTGCTACAAGTTGAAATATATATTATGGTGCACCAAGTTGTAGACCAAGGAGCTCAGCCTCAGCTCCTATACTTGTGAAGGCAGCACGTCTCAAACGATGTTTGGATAGGAGAGGTAAATATATTTATAATAACTTGATAATGCCTACCTACTTGATCTACACTATCTTAATAAATGACAATTTAAGGACTTTTTTAAATTTTGATAGAAGAGAAAAAAAAAAATTTGTTGACGAGAGTTAGAGTAACGTCTAGACTTGGTCTAGGTTGTTGACAAAGGGCCTTTGTTGCTAGAGCAGGGTTATTGCCCCTTGTAAATCTATGGCCATGGAAGGTCGATCACAACCTAATCATTACAATGACCGAAGGATGGCAGCCTGAGACCAATTTAGCACACTTTGATGATTATATCAGTGAGATGATGCCTATACTCTATGATGTTTGGTTGATACTTCGGCTCAATGTAATTGGGAACCCCATCATTATAGAAGAATACCGTTCCTATCACACATATTTGTATAGATAGCTTGGAGCTTCTCCAGGAGGTTCCTTTGATAAGTTAGTGACTATCAAATTCAGTTGGCTGAAGGAGAGATTCATGATATTGCCACCGAATGCTACTGATGAGGTGGTGATGAGGTGGTTGAGTGGCACGCGCGTGCTTATTTGTTGTATCTTGTTGGGAGCACAATTTTTGTCAGCTCGAAGGGCAACGAGGTTCCCATAAGGCATCTGAAGTTCTTGGAGGATTTTGACAGAGCAGGGTGATATGCATGGTGTGCTGCGACTCTAGTCTATTTATTTTGTTCTCTTTATAAGTTCGTTATCAAGAAAAAATCCCACTTTAGTGGGTCGGCAACGCTTTGTGCATTGTTAGTTGTGGGTTAGTGTGACAATATTTTTATGTGATTTCAATTTATAAAACCTGATAGGTCGATAAACTTTAATATATTTTTGTCATTAATTCATTATGCAGACTTGAGCATTTGAGTATTTTCTCACTTTTCGGCCTAATAATGAGATGACAAACGTTAGAGTGGGCGAGGCACGCGCGAAGCGATGGAGACCTCCCGTTCCAAAGAAAAACCCTTGAAATATCGAATCCTACTACCATTAGGAGATGGAACTCCTTAATTCGTCGAAAGTTAGCACAATCACAATAATTGTGTTACAAATTTTAATTACATTGAATAAACTAATGCAAAATTATTTGTGTGATTATTTGTGGGTTTCATATTATACTCGTAAAATGGATTTTATTTATCTCAAATTGTAGGTTCTATGGCAACCATATATCACAACCAAATGATAGCCAAATGGATAGGGATAAGTAAGAAGCATCTTCCAATGCTTTCACCTCTGCAATGTGCAATTTTAATCTTATTTTTATAACATTGCGGAGCGCTATCTGCCAAAGCGAGTGCTATGACAGTTTGCCTTAAAGCAGGGAATTCCTCCGAATCCAGAGAGATGGGGACGAGGAGAGAAGCATGGTACGTTGGTGGATTCATGGATGCAGGAGTTAGCCTCGAAAATCCAAATATGGTTGGATCATTACATGTACTGGGCCGGAGGTAATATTATTGATGCGGATACTGAGGATGGGGTGCCCTCAGTAGAGTGCAAGCAATGGTACTCGATGGTGTCTAGGCCGACTATTTAGAACACCGTACAAAATCAAGGGGTGTAATATATACCCCAAGAGGATATGTTGACAAGTCGAGCATGGTAATTATACGTAGTTTATTTTTTTAATTATTTCACGGTTAAAACTTTATGACATGCGGCATAAGCATTTTACAATATTTGCCTGCTTTGTCGTTTAGCAGGGTGCAACACACAATGCAACACCTTAGTTCTATGTTGCATCCTACTGATATGGGACACATCGCTCGAGAGCATGTAACAGTTGCTTGTCGGGAGTTGTCCAACCGAGAGGAGCAAGTCGTCAAGGAGGATGAGAAGGCAAATGAGGATAAGGAGGCGGATGGAGAGGAGGAGGCAGAGGCTGAGGAGGCGAAGGACGAGATCCCCTTGCTTGGGCTTGTAGAGCCAATTTTACATGAGCGACGATTCAACCTGCGACAACAACAGGCTCAAGGCATTACAATCAAGCAACAGGACGAGGGGCCTAGCCAGGTCTATAAAGGGGGTCAGATTGGTAGAACTAAACATCACAATGTTTTCTATTTTTGTTTGGGCATATATAAAAAATGCTATAAATTTCAAATGTTATATTATGTTCAAAATTTTGGAATGAATGAAAATCAAAATATCAAATGTCGTATAAATGGTATGAATGAATGAATGAGGTGAATTTTGCGCATCATGTATGTTATTAAAAGTATTGGACTTGGTATGAATGAATGACTATCTTGTGCAAGCTTGTATTGCTTAATTTGTGCACTGAGCTTGTTTACTGTAATTTTTTAAAATTTTTTTAACGAAAGTCACTCTATTCATTTTTTTTAGAATAGAAGTCAGACTGATGTTGTGAACATCGAACTGCACTCTATTCATTTTTTTTAAAGCAAAAGTTTGTCCGATGTTAGAAACATCGGACCATATTCTGTTCATTTCTTTTAGAACAAAAGTCGGTCCGATGTTAAGAACATCATATCGCATTCTATTCATTTTTTTTACAGTAGAAGTCGGTCCGTGTTACAAACATCGAACCGCATTGTGTTCATTTTTTTTAGAACAAAAGTTGGTCTGATGTTAAGAACATCGGACCGCACTCTGTTCATTTTTTTTACAGCAGAAGTCAGTTCGATGTTTCTAACATCGGACCACTGTTTCTAACATCGGACCACTGTTTCTAACATCGTACCGTTGTTTCTTACATCAGATCGCACTCTGTTAATTTTTTTTGCAATAGAAGTCGGTTCGATGTTTCTAACATAGGAACGCACTCTGTTCATTTTCTTAAGAACAGACGCCGGTCCGATGTTTCTAACAGCATTCTTTTAAAAAAAAAAAAGGCAAGTAACATGGCTTGAAATTTTTGCTAGTAACATGGCTTGAAATTTTTGCAAGTAACATGGCTTCAAAAAAAAATAAAAATTTGCATTCATCCATGTTCAAATAATTCAACCTCATTACATCATCTATGGAGCAATAAAATTAAAAACATGATGATTAAGAAGATTTCTTGTTGATACAAAAGAAACTGCGATCAAAAGTCCCCGTGCTCAATTGCATCATTTGAATTATTAGAAAAGTCGCTCTCATTATCCGATGCATCAGTGAAGTCCATTTGTTCTTCAGGTGTACCTGATAATTCCCTCTTTTCCTCAGGTGTATCACTGCCCTCAGTGTCTTGTTCAAGTGTACCAAAGAAGTTTCTCTCTTTCTCAGGTGTATCAAGGAAGTCATTGTCTTGCTTTCCATGACCTCCTATTGTGGCCCTTAGTACCACAACACTGGCATAAATAAGTTCTAGTTAATGTTTCTTCGATCCTGATTCGCTGCTTCTTTGGTCTATTAGGGGGTTGGATTGTCTTAGGGGGAGCACCATCCTATCAATAACTCCAAGCAAAGGAACATCGTCTGGTAACAGTAGGAACACACCTAAATAAACAATCTTGTAAGCAGCTACAAAGAAAAATGACTGGCAAAATGTAGTTACTAGAAGGTGCCAGTGGTCGATAACACAAATTGCATGATTGGAAGGTAAGACACTAATCTTACGCTCCATGTATGTACAAGTCCACTAATTGAGATCTACAGTATACCTCCTAGCCTCAACCACATCATACTTCCTACTTGACACCCACAATAGGTTGTGGCATAATCGTGACTTTCTAATTCGCATGTCTATCTCTTTTTGTGCATTTGGCACTAGAATGCCGCTCCATTTCTCTGTCATCATCAATCTATCTACAAAGGTCCTTATTAGCTTCATCCTAATACCTCACATAATGCAATAATTAGCTTGTCATGAAAAGGTAATATCTAAACATTGAAATTCTCAACAATGTTGGACGTGTTGTGATTGTATATGTCCCTACAGAAATATACATTCGTCCATCATTGATATAGTTGTGCATTTAACCACGCATACGCTTGAGGATCAGCTTCCTGCATTCTTGACATCTCTTCCTCAAACTCATCTACCCTTAGTGCATGGGCTGCCTTCCATAGGATCGTCACTAACGTAATGTTCTTAAATTGCTTCAAAAAGTTTTGTGCCAAATAATGCACACAAAACCCTAGATAGCAGTCCGGAAAGATGTGTTCTAGTGCTTGTAATAACCCTTTCCGTCGGTCTGAAATAATCGTCAAACGACGCAAGTCTTGCCGTGTATTGAGCAACTCCTTCAGGCATTCAAGAAACCATATCCAAGTACTTATGTCATCATTCTCTACCACAGCAAATACTATCTGGAACATGCCACCATCAGCATCTGCACCAATAGTGCTCAACAGAGTACCCTTGTATGTTTTGTTTAGAAACGTCCCATCCAAACCAATGAGAGGCCTACATCCATACAAAAATCCATGGAGACAAGGATTAAAATGCAAGAACATACGTCGGAATCTATGGTCGCGATTTGTAGATTGATATGTAGCCTACAGTTTGAGGTTTGGTGAATCATAGCATCTCCATTTATAAGGGTCGCTCTATATGATCCCAAAATCATTTCTGTCGCAACCTCTTTCCCTCTCCACTCTTGCATGTCTGACAACAGCACACCATGTTCGTGTTAAACGTTATTTATAATATCTTTGGGTCTCATATTTATCTGTTCAGTTAATCAGGGTTTAATTTTCCTTGCTACCCACCAGCTTCGAGCTAATGGCTGGTGAGCCCTTCCCATTGGACCCATACAAGTGTGGTTATCTATCAACTCTCTGACCTTAAAATACTTTGTGATGGAAATACTAGAGCATCGTAGTTTCCATTTGCACCCTCCCTAGTACAGATCGCAACTAAATGATCTTGTTTGTCTTTTCGGTACCTCATAATAAAATTTTGATACATGCAATAATCTACTAAATGATTACAAAGTGGCCTGACATCCACAAATTCTTGTCCTACATAAAGTTAAATATGCGAGTGGACTGAACTGCATGGAGATTTTGATGGATGCATATCATTGGGATTAGGTCTTATTTTTCTTGTACTCTCGGAGTCCGCATCACATGCATGTATTACATTTTTGACGATGGGGATGGGCACTAGTTCAATGGGGCTGCTGAAAAATGAAGTAAAAAATGATTCAATAAGTATTAATTATAAATAATGAAATACACGATAAACATATATGTCATGAGCATTACCTAATCCTTGTTGATGGACCACATAATGGAGCTATACCCGCTACATCTGGTTGATGTTCCCTATGTGTTGCTTCAGATAGTTTGTTCACAACACATATATGAACATTGGAAGCCACCAACAACATGCATGTCACATCTACATCTTCATTTACTTCTACTAAAAATATCATTTTCAAGATACATAATTGTCAAATTACTAGGGTCTCAACGTGTAATAGATGTCATACGCATCGTTAACTATTCCAATGAGTCACTCCCAGTATACAAAGTAGCTTTTACATCCCCGCCTTTGTAGAACATTCGTCCATCATTAAACCTTCTCTCGAAAGAACCACCATAACGACATAACAACCGCACTCCACTTGTGGCCATTGTGATGACTCAAATGATGACCTTATAGAGTTAAAATACTCAATGGCACCCTAAAGGGTTAATAAACCTAAGAAACATCGCATCATTGATTCAATGAGGAACAAAACTAAATATAGAAACTTTTAGCTTCTTCCAATTCTCATAATGCACATGAAACACAGAGATATTGAATCAATTTATTTGTATTAACTAAAAAGATTAAACAAACACATATAGAAACCCCATAGAGCTCTAGTTTTCTACTTGAACCTGCATGTTCATTATATAAAGAATTAACACATTAATCTACAAACCAAATGCAATAAAACAAGAAAAAGAATGAGATGAACAATCATTTTTTTATCTTCATATTTCCTATTTGTGAAATTCAACATATTCTATAGGATAACAATGGCAACTCACAAAAAAAATTAATGGAACATAATAAACAGACAAAATAATCGTTGAGACCATATCCATTCATTTGTAATAATCAATAATCATAAAAAATTTAAGAGAATGAAAAAATAAAATAAAAAACCCTTAATTAATATTTGTGGTTCCTTCATACAAAAATATGTACCTTTGATACAAATTTGAGGAAGAACTTACTGAAATGGGAAACCCTAAAATACATGGTACATTCATGCAAAAAAACAATAGAAAAAATAACAAATGGATTGTAAATGTAACCGATTTATATGAGAAATAACAATAGGAGATGCAATCCATTCTGATGGAGAGAGAGAGACGATGCTCTTGTGGCGATGGAGAGAGAGACGCAAGATCTTAGAGAGAGAGAGACGGATGTTTGGAGAGAGAGAGAATGAAATTTACTAGAGCACGAAAGATGGGAAATTTTGGGGGTTTTAACCCCTCAATATTGTTCCGATGTTTCAAACATCAGACCGAGGCTAAAAAAAAACAAATACTTAACGGGACTGATGAGACTGTGGGGATGACCTAACGGGAAGGGATGTGTCATGACCCCACCCCCTGACCCCTACCATAACGGTCGGAGGGCAACAGAGTGCGGGACTGCAACCCGAGATAACGAATGACACTCAGGTGGGAGTGCAGTCAATGCTCTTAAGAAGGCAGAATCAAAACAAACTACGAAAGAAAGAAAAAACCAAACACAAAGGTACAAGAACTAGACAAAACAATAAAAACCAACTTATATACATACAGGTTTCAAGATTTAATTACAATCATGTCCAAGGCACTACAAGCCCAACCACAAAACACAATTCTTTAAACAAAACAACTACATGGCCACCGCCAACCGACACCAGCTATCAGAAATAAGCCTTTCTTGTCAAACTTGAAACTTCAACTACCAATCACGAGTGCTCAATCGCCCGCTCTCAAAAACCGTAGGTTGTTACTCTACACAGAGAAAGTCAAAAGGATGAGCTATAAAGCCCAATAAGTAAATCAACATCATATGTTTCAACTTGTACAATGTCATTCATGAACATTTCCCAAAATTCAAGTAGGCGTCACAACATGGAGTTATGTCACAACATGGAGTTAATAGTGATGGAAGAAGTCTAAATCAGATATCAGAATGTCACATATCATCGGATCTAATAGTTACCCCATCTTTTTA